GTGTCGAATCGTACGGTGTCGAATAATTTTGTGTCGAATCGTACGATGTCGAATAATTTCGTGTCGAATCGTACGGTGTCGAATCGTACGGTGTCGAATAAATCTGTGTCCAATAATTTGGTATCGAATCGTACTGTGGTCAAACGGAACACGCCCTTTCTCCATGTGTTTCTATTATATCATTATATTCTAATTCTTTAATCCTACCCTTTTTTCCTTTTTTCTTCCTTAAGTTTTTTACCTCTATTTTCTTTCTTTTCTTCTCTTCCCTTTTTTTCCTTCTGCCATTTTTTCCTTTCTTCTTTTCCGGTTGTTTTACACTCTCTTTCAACGCTTATCCTTTCTTATCTCATCTTTAACAGTTTCTTTCTCAATTCTGATTGTTTCCTTCCATATCTTTTTTTTGCTACCTCAAGTATTGCCAACATTCTTCTTATTTCTTTCCTTTTCCATGTCATATCATGCAAACCAAATCTTCTCTTTTTGTATATTTTTAGGTGTCTCCTAACTTACTTTTTTATTTTGCTGTTTGTCCATTCTCACCTATATCATTTTGCTTTTATTTTATTATTCAGCTTTATCATATTTTTTATTTTACCTTCAGTTTTTGTCTTTCAAAATTTTTTCTACCCGTCATTACTAATCTCGTTTTTTTTTACCTCTTTTAGTAAAGTCTGTTTTTAATCTTTTCTTTTTTTTTATTGTAGACGTTTCTTTATTTGGTTTTTTGTCTTCTTTCATCCACGTTGTTCGCATTTTGTTTCTTTTCTTTTATCTGTCTCTTTACTTGTTATCTTTTCCTTCTTTTCCAGCTTCTTTTCCACCTCTTTACTTGTTTGGTAAATATTTAGAAAAAGTCACCCTTCTCCGATTTTAATGAGCTTGACATATGTTGTCAAGGACACCTTCCTGAGTAACAATCAAAAAGTTTTAGCCGTCGCTCGTTGTTTAAAATAAAGTTAAAAACAATTAAAGTTACAAAACTAAATTTTTATTTTTTGACATCATGTACATTTTTACCATAGCACATGAAACGTCATAATTCAACTTAATCTATAAGATGTCTGTGCAATGGCGACTATGCACAAACATTTTCTGTGTTAACGGGATGTAAGCAAACGGAACTCGTGCA